ATAATTCAATTCATTAATCTTTATGTAAGGTATTGGTTGAGATAAAAACGTCAGTGTCACGAGGGGGATTCGAACCCACGACCTTCCGCTAAATACGCGGCTTCTCTGCCACTTGAGCTTTCGTGAATTCGAATTTTAAAAATGGCAAAAAGGAGGGAAAATTCGAAACGTTGGGTTGAGGTGGGACGTTGGTGTCCGAGTGGATCGAAGTCACGATAGCTGAAGTGGTAGAGCAGCGGCGTATTTAGCCGAAGGTCGTGGGTTCGAATCCTGCTCGTGACACTGACTTTTTAATCTCAACCAATACCTTACATAAATATTAATTAATTGGAAGATGTTAACATTTATTATAACAGAAATTTATAATTTATGATTCGCATAATTCGGAAATGATGTAAAATATTTTTCTTGGTGAGTTTCATTATTATTAAAACAAAATCATTTACTATGTTATTTGTCGTTGAATATTAGTACAATTCAATACAATGGATCAAAATCCTAATAATAACTCTCATCAGTGTTATGTATTAATAAATTCTGTCATCAGTTCGTTTAAGTTTCATTCAGAAACGGAGACCTCAGCCATTAAATCTTTTTTTCTTACAGGTTAACTTTATAAAGTATCTAAAATTTATGGAGGAAAGTAAGTTTTTAGTTTGTTCCTTCGACTTGGGAAGAGGAGGAAGCGGTGGGATTGTTGTTTGGCCACAACCGGCCCTTTCCTTCTGCTGAGCGACATCAGGATGGTCACTCGACCAACTTTATATAAACTCGCCCCACCCTTCGAGTTAGATTGGTTGCTAAACTTGTTTCCCCATCAGACTTCAGATTCCTCTTGACCTCTTAGCCAGTCAATTTCCTTACAGTAATGACCCCCTTTTCAGTCAGTACGACATAGAGTGAGCCTTAATGGTAATTGGCACAGTGAACCGGAATTTGAGCGGATGGTAAAAATCGACAAACTTCTGTAAAAGGTGCTTGTAAATAAGTAAAGTGACAGTCCGAAAATGAAGTCAGTTTTTTTTAATGGTTTCCGCCCTTTCTATGATAGCTTAGGTTATGGCTCTCTTAAATCTTTAAAAACCGTTTAGAAGGAACTGCCTGAGTTTATAAGTGCTCTAAACCTCTTTTAAGCACCTTCCAGAAAGTAAGTTTTCTTGTAGTTAGTTATTTCCGCTCATTTTAAAGTAAAATTGCCTTGAGCCATGTATTCCATCTTGATTCAAAAAAAGCCCTAACCTTAAATCATCGCGAATAAAGTTAACTTGACATATTCGACAAGGAACTTTATCATTTCAAGAACAATTTGAATACCACTTCCTAGAATTACTATTTAACTGCATTAACATTTTTAAATAGTAAATCTAAAAACATGCGAGCTTTATAACAACTGTAAAATATTTACTTTGAAGAAAAATTTGAAATGGTGTTTTTTACTATTCAACAATGACATAGTTGGTGTAATAGTGATAGTACATATATTTACTTAGTCAGATGTATGTGTTTCATGTGTCAGTTGATGTTTAATATTATAAGTAATTATTTAATTAAGTTTGAAGTAATTAATTTAAGTAATTATTTTTGAAACCAATGCGTTTATAAGTGTAAATGTAGTAGCATATTCTCCTATTTCCCCGAATAATATTGAGTACTCTGAGGGTAGTTTTAAAGTCTTTTGGTGTGTGAATGTCATTTATTAGCGTGAATGTTGTGTCTCCTTCTCAAATCAACCAAGGAACATTAAATACTTTGGGATAGTGAGAATATAATTTGTTAGCTTGAACAGAGGAGATTATCCCCATTATTATCACGAATGTATGGCATTATCCCCAAATAAGGATGGAATATGGTGGGAATGCATTTATCAGCACGAATCGAGGGGCTTATCTCCAATTATCCTGAAGAATATCGAGCACTCTGGGGTAGTATGGATGCTAATTAGATTATCATTCTTTTTCTAATTTCTGTTTTTATGTTCTAATTTTTGTTTTTTTGTTTTTAGTGATATTTTATCCACAATAGACGAGTCTTTGAGGTACAGAAACGCTAGGAATAGTATGAAGAAAAAAGACCGTAGTTATCGTACTAATTGGTTTTTTATAACTTGGCTGGAGAAAAAGGAAAAGAAATGGCTGGCGATGACAAAAGTATTTTGCTGGCCTAAAACTACCAAAAACATTATATCTATTTCCCACTTAACGTTAAAAAGATATATAAATTTATGATTATCAGAGAAAGGTTTTTTTGACAAATTAATCTTACAATTAGAAAAAATGCAAGAAGTTTTCATAAAATGTTGGAATATTTATATATGGATTGTCTCTTTTTAGAGCTAGCTACAATTACGTTTTAACAATTGCAGCTACAATAGACAAAAACAGGTTACAGTTGAGAACACTCCTTCCAGACAGAAGAAAAATGTTAGAAGTTGCAGTTTATTTATCTTTTAACAAGGGGAAGACCACCAGTTTCCTGGAAGAATCGAAAAGTTTTGATACCGAGTTTTTACATCCTACGCCTATCATTGATAAATGATATCCTAGGAAGACACTATCACTTCACGACTGTGGCCCCACCAAGAAGAAATTTGATGAATGCGCTCCTCCCCGTGATTTATAGTTTAAACTTGCAACGCAATTATTATTTTCACATTTTTTAATGTCAAACATCCATGGGTAAACTGATTTTAACGGCACCTCGTTGAGATTGTGTCTCAAAGTCCAAAATATTTGTTTTTTAAAAAGTCTTTTAAATAATATATTATAATATTACATTACATATAAATTATTTTATTAAAAAGTCTTTTAACAAATGCATTCAGCATAAATATGATAATATGTAAATAAGTATTGAAAATAGCTATCTAAACAATGCAAGATTTCAAGGAAACGAGAAAATGGGGTCGTTTAACCGGTTTGAATCCTAGCATTACTTAGTCCATGGCATCTATTTCCAGAACGTAATAGCCTACATAGTAAGGTTAAATCAATATTGCGTGATGTTAAAGAAACCAGGGGCCCGTTTGTGATGATTGTGCTCAGCCTTATTTATTATACCTTCGATGTCCAATGTAAGAAGGCAAACTGTTAGCAGTGTGCCGTAACAAGATCAGTTATGGTAATAAAGTTAATTATGATCATTTTGTAAATATTTATCATTGCGATAGAGATTTATTAGGGAATATTTACGAAGTGTTGTAGGCTTGCTGCAGGTTGGTTTGTTTAGTTACGCTCATATTATTTCATCAAATTTATGAGTTTTTTCATATGCCTATTCTCGTCGTTTTTGGTCTGTCATACACGCTCCAATTTCTAAGAAAAGAGATGATAAGCAAATTAAAAATATTGCTACAACGACAAAACTAAATGGTCATTGCCACGCAGACTTTAAGAAGAAATCCCACAATTTATTTGTTGAATCTGTGCGTTTTCACATAATTTTGTTTCTGTTTCAGTTTTATTTAATAAAAACTATTAGCGTTAATCTTCTATCTCTTCGTATTTACAACTGCTATAAGTCTGAAGAAGCATATTTCAAGTGTAAAGATGAGACTTCAAGTTTCTGCTTAATGGATTTTGCCTAGGGTTTATAAGCGGTGTTATTATGTGCTGATGATGGTTTGTTAGTCGACAATCGTGTAAGTTTACATAGAAATATATAAACAAGAAGGTTATTGCAAAAATGGATTCTGTCAAGCTCGACAAACACAGATGTGGTTTTAGAAAGACTGTGCCGACCTTATTTCCGACTAATGATCATTTGTAGGAAAAAATAATCACCTGTGCTCATGTCTGAGGGCCAACGCTCACTATCGACATTGGCTATAACTCATACATGTATTTAGCAGTCATAGTAGTCTGTCTAAGGTCTTGATTAAAAGAAGTAACTTGGTCAGTTGACTACGAAAACGTAAATTAACATTTTAATTTATAATACTTTTAAAATAAGGTCTTGGTTGATTTGTAAAAGCAAGTGTCACGAGCGGGATTCGAACCCACGACATTCGGCTCAATGCAAGGGCTGCTTTCAAGCCCAGGTCATCCACACGGATCGTGTAGGTGGAGATGAGTTGGCGTCCGGGTGGATCGAAGTCGCGATAGCTCAAGTGGTTAGAACAAATAAGGTTCTCATCGAAATTTCCTTTGCCAATTATCAGCCTCTTCGTTGCATCACCGCCCTGGGTGCCCTGGTGCCAAGACAATAGTAAGTTCAGTAAGTTAAATAACTCTCTGAACATAAACAACTCTGAAGTAGTTGCACTTAGTGCCACATAGCTGTCCGAATAAGATAGATGTTTGTCAACAATACCTAGCCTTTAATCTTCTTGGCACGGTTTTCAATAGCTCCAGAACGACAGCGGTATATTTCGCGAATCGAATCTTACATGATTTCCAGTTCTGAATTCATTTCCGCTGATCACAGCTCATGGCCATGTGTGTGTGTGTGTGTGTGTGTGTGTGTGTGTGTGTGTGTGTGTGTGTGTGTGTGTGTGTGTACGCAGCATTCCGGGAACCCTTTCTCCCAGTTTGATCTATCGGGTATATTAATTAAAAACGTTTTATCAAATCTGAATTATATTATGATTGTTTAGCATGATCTCGTCAGTTATTTTTTCAAATCTTACGGTGAATGCGACGATTATCGCAACATAAAATCTTCTGTTTTGATTCTAGTATGGGCCGATCAAAAGTCTATTCATTTTTTTATTTACCATTAAGAATATGTATGTCTAATTTTCTTCTGTCAACATGAAAGCAATTTATAACTCAGAACTTGTAGCCAAACAGATTTATTTGGATTATCAAGATATAGGATACGTTTTCATCAATGTTCTGGTTGAAAGTTAAGTGTATATAGTGAACATAAACATAAAAAAATAAATAAAACACATTCAAAACGAAACATGTTTTACCAATTTTATATTCCCTGAAAGTTTTTTTAAACTCTGCTAACATATGTATTGTAAAAATAACATAACACTGAAAGAAATCATACAGTAAATAAGTATTTAAAGTATTTTAAACAAGTTCATGGCCTTTTTTCACATGGCGAACAAAAGTAACTGTTTGGCAAGTGAGATTCAGTTTGATTAATGGAAAAGGTTGTACGAGCCAAACTGGGCCCAGTGAAATGAAAGCTGAGTCATTTCTTCCATCAGTAGATCAACAGGTAATAAATGATAACGTGGTGCAGCTTGCCAACGTCACGCCAGTAAGTTCAATATCCATTCAATATTCTTCTTTATTGCCTCTTCCCCCAAATCATCCTCTCTTATTTTCTCATCTTCCTTTATTTTCTTTTTGAAAAAAGAGCTATATGGGATAAAGGGGTACTGTTCAGTTACAGTTATTGATTGCAGTGTCTAGCGAATTGCTATAAATGAAGATTGGTCACCGTGCACTTTATTCTCTTTATCCCTTTATTACATATTATTCGCCCCATGATTACCGAACGTCTGAAATTCTTAACGTATATAAACATATAAGTGTGTTGGTGTTTTATGTGGTTTGAGTAGGATTGACAATTTTTATAAACACTTTTGACCCCATAAAATTCCCTAAATGATCCTGATGAACAAATCTTCAGCTTATCTAATTATCGAATAGCGTGTGAAATTTGTGTAACCTCTGGTTTTAATAAATATGGTATCAAATATTTTGATTCTGAAAATCCGGAAGAATAATTTTTCATGTAGACACCTCTACACATTATGCTTGATCCTTTCTTTTGGCCTATAAATCCTTCATATAATTTCGATAAATACTTTTACCTGAATAATAACTAATGATCAGTTTTCAAAGCATGGGTAAACATATGAAATTAGAAATAAATTCATTAAATTTCGTGGTCCGATTGACCAAATAACATCTCTTAGTTAACTATTCTTTATGTAAGGTATTGGTTAAGATAAAAAGTCAGCGTCACAAGCGAACCCACGACCTTCAGCTAAATACGCCGCTGGTCACAATGGTAAGTTAAATAACGGCTCTGGACTTGACTCAATAACTAGCCTTTTAATCTTCTTGGCACGGTGTTCAATAGCCCCTGTCTCCGACAGAACGATAGTGGCATATTGCCCTAATATTATATGATTTCCAATATATATAGCTGGGATCTATGTACATGAACCCAGAACTAGAAATCATATAAGATTCGGGATCCATGCCGTCATCATATAAGATGCCATATATATGTATGTATGTATGTATGTATATATACAGGGTGAGTCATTTTTTGACGCACCATTGGAAAATCAACGTGGGTGCGTCTAATTATGACTCGGCACATTTTATTTTTTTAGTTTCGTACCAAAAAATAGGCGAGTCACTTTTCGACGCACCATTCGTTACAAATTAGTTTTAGTAGGTTGGAAGGAAAATAAACAAAACCAATATTATTAAAACATTATTCAAACACAATGTAAAAATTTAAAAAAAAATTCTTCACAAATTAATTTGATTAAGGTTTAAGAGTATTACAATTAATTAAGGTTTTTAGTTGAGATGAAAAAGTCAATGGCACGAGCGGGATTCGAACCGACGATCTTCGGCTAGATACGCCGGTGCTCTACCGCTTGAGCTATCGTGACCTCGATCCACTCGGACACTAGCTTCCCGTCTCAACCCCACTTCTTGAATTTTCCCTCCTTTTTGCGATTTTTTATCCTAACTAAAAACTTTAATTAATTGTAATATATTAATTGGTCAAGCGGACCACGAAATTAGTGAGTTTTACGATCGACTGGGCTACTTGGTTGCAGCAAACGGAGGTCTGTTCGAACAATTATTATAATGATTTTGAACATTTTTGGTTTGCTAACAAAGGAGATTGTTACATTTATTTAATTTTTTTTACTTTACCAGAGAAAAGGAGATTGTTACATTTATTTAATTTGTTTACTTTACCAGAGAAAAATACTCTTAAACCTTAATCAAATTAATTTGTGAAGAATTTTTTTTTTTAATTTTTACATTGTGCTTGAATAATGTTTTAATAATATTGGTTTTGTTTATTTTCCTTTCAACCTACAAAAACTAATTTGTAATGAATGGTGCGTCGAAATGTGACTCGCCTATTTTTTGGTACGAGACTAACAAAATAAAATGTGCCGAGTCATAAGTAGACGCACCAACGTTGATTTTCCTATGGTGCAACGAAAATTGACTCACTTTCTTTTATTCACGTATTAATCAAAGGAAATAAGCCTCGAGTCAGATTTAAACGGACCCACGTTGATTTTCCAATGGTCCGTCAAAAACCGACTCACCCTGTACATACATACATACATATGTACATATTGTACATACATACATACATATATATATATACACACACACACGATTTCCTTTATATATATATATATATATACATATATACATACATATATATATATACATACATACATATATATATTTATATATATATATATATATATAGCCAACATCCGCGAACCCTTTTTCCCAGTTTGAACTATCGGGGTTCGAATTTTGATTAAACGACCTGGCAAAAGTCCGAGTTGATCAAAGTCTCGATAGCTCAAGTGGTAGAGCGGCGGCGTATTTAGCCGAAGGTCGTGGGGTCGAATCTCACTCGTGACGCTGACTTTTTTATCTCAACCAATACCTTAAAAATAGAATAATTAACTGAAATTAGAAATAAATTTTAAAAATATATAAATCTGAAAGTTTTGAGAAATGATCTGGGTGTACAATATTGCATTTATACAACTATGTGTATACATTATTTTTTAGTCGTTTGACAAGTTTAAATATTATTTTTAGTCAACAGATAATTTAACGTATCATTCACTCTCTCTCTCCGTCATACATCGATTTTATTGGCATCGCTCAGCTTATTTTCTTTTTTAATCCATCTGTGCGTAAAATAAATACAAAATAAGTTTGTCTTTCTATAAAGTTGACAAGACAATACAAGATTTAAATTGTTGAAAATTGCCCATTCACGTAATCCGTTAACAGCTAAACAGCTTGTATCATCTACTCAATACAAGAATTACAAATATACAAAATTGTTTATTGATTTGATCGGAATTTTTTTAATCCAGCCTCAACTCAACAAGTGGTGGAATTGGCAGTAAAGACTTGGATAGGACTACTTTAATTGTGGCTCTCTTAATCAGATTACGTGCTTCTCGCTTAGGACTTGTTGAGCTCACACGAAACCAAGAAGTTCTTTTTCCGATTGTTGCCACTTTTTTTTTTTTTTTAAATATAGCAATCCCTTAGCAACATCCGGAGGTTTTTCTTAGAGCTTTTCTATTGTCATTCAACCGGCCAATTTTCTCGTTTGAAAGAGAAAATTGATTGATTTCGATAAGCTCAATTCTGCAAATATATACGTGAGGAATCAAACCTATGACTATGAATCACCTTTTTCAGTGTTTTTGGTGGTTCACACGTCTTATCCATACACCTCCGTAATGTAGTGGCTATCGACTCAATGTCATTTCAGCTCCCACGCATCCAGTTTCAACCTAAATAAACACCCTCTTCCACACATCCCTGAATACTTTCTTTTTTATTTACATACCATTCCTCATAACTAAACATAAACTACCACATCTAATTAAAGGTCCATACCTTACTTGATAGATAGATAGATAATACTTTTATTTACAACAAAAAAAGACTACAACAAAGAAATAAATTTATAAGTATATATATAAACATGGATTAAAACCGTCTGCCGGAGGTTGTTGCTGGTACCATAAAAAACAATATGGAAATTAAAAAAATATATATAAAGAAAACAAAAAATAAATAGGTAGAAAATAATTAATTAAGAAACTAACAAAAAATACGTAACTTATAATAATAATAATAATCTTTCTTTGCAAAAATGTACATTACATATAAATTTATAACAAAAGATAATATTTTGGCACATCCCTGCCTGCTGTCAAAACCAAAGCTTGTACTGGAGAGCAGGAGTTTTTGAAGATCATCAGAGAAATAAGAAGAATATGAAAGAAAGAAACAAAATGAAAAACAAAAAATTAACAAACATAATACAAAATAAACTTGTACGTGAAAAAACCAATTAAATTCTATCTTGTATCTTCACTAATTTAAAAATTTTGAAATTACAGATTTTTTGCCTTTTTTTGTAGTTTTTAAAATTTTGAATAATAATTCGCTCTTTATATAAAAAGGAGAAGTGCCATATTTTATGAAAATGAAATTTAATTAAATGAAATTTATAATCTAAATTATAATATTGCGTAGTTTTTACATTATATCATTATATATNCAATGAGAGAGAGAGAGAGAGAGAGAGAGAGAGAGAGACAGACAGACAGACAGAGACAGAGACAGACAGAGACAGAGAGAGACAGAGAGAGAGTGACAGAGAGAGAGAATAATACACTCCACCAAATTTGTGTTTTAATAATATAAAATTTATAAAACGCAAAAAAACGCATATGTAACTATTTTACTTTTAGTTTATTTTAAACTATATGATCCACTTTTAAGATGGAATATGTAAAGATGTAGTGTTCGGGATGTGTAGTGTTCAGCGCCCTTTAAAGATTATTGAATCTTCCGTTCTCCACTCATAGCACACCGGTGAGTCTAGTTCATCAAGGAACTTAATTTGTAGACCAGATCCAGTGGTTGAATTTCTTCTACGGTTACGTTGTACATACCAAAGTTCTTCCTTCGTGTAATTATGTCGCCACAGTTTGTTAGTAAGTGTGTTGTCTCATTTGCCTCCTTGCCGAATCTGCATGTGCCGTGTTGTCTTATATCAAACTTCTCCAGATGCCCATTCAGTCGGCAGTGTCCAGTTAAGAATCTTGTTAGGATTCGAAGTTTTATCCTGGTTCCATTGATGCATTCTGTTGTTTCATTCCTTTCAAAATATACAAGAAGGTTTTTGTATTGTTTGAATTATATTGTTTTCTCATTTTAATTTTGTCCTTTTATCTAAGGTACTCATTTATAGTGTGACTCCCTACGCTACAGAAGAGCGACGCACTATTATCTTTTAAAATGACTTAGTTTTGAAATAAAACTTTTGATATAAAACTATAAAACTTATCATTTTCGTCAATTTTGTCGAATATTTCATTTTCTGAAGCAACGCAAATAGAAATTTTGGAATTGGACACGTTAACCGTAAGTTATAGCCGAAGTAAAAAAATTTAAAAAATTTAATTAAACCGTTCTATTTCAAAAACTAAAGTTTTT